CCAATTGCTGAGCGGGCGATAAACAGCGAAGACTCGTTCGAAATTTCGGGACCCTGAAGGGGGAATCAAATTTCGAGGGAATTTGCGATTTTGACTCATCTCCCTGACCAAATGGCCAATTTATCAGTTTCTGATCAGGATTTTCAGCAAACTGGTCCAGTTTTGGAGGGAAAACGATCACGCGGAAACGATTTTTCTCCAAAACGGAAACTGCGCGCAGAAAAGTCCGGCCAATCGTCAGTTTCAGGTTCGCGTGGAAGTGGTCTTAAGTTTTCGCGCTTATTCTTCAAAAATGGCCAATTTATCAGTTTCTGATCAGGATTTTCAGCAAACTGGCCCAGTTTTGGAGGGAAAACGATCACGGGGAAACGATTTTTCTTCAAAACGGAAACTGCGCGCAGAAAAGTCCGGCCAATCGTCAGTTTCATGTTCGCGTGGAAGTGGCCTGACCAAATGGCCAATTTATCAGTTTCTGATCAGGATTTTCAGCAAAGTGGCCCAGTTTTGGAGGGAAAACGATCACGCGGAAACGATTTTCCTTCAAAACGGAAACTGCGCGCAGAAAAGCCCGGCCAATCGTCAGTTTCATGTTCGCGTGGAAGTGGCCTGACTAAATGGCCAATTTATCAGTTTCTGATCAGGATTTTCAGCAAACTGGTCCAGTTTTGGAGGGAAAACGATCACGCGGAAACGATTTTTCTTCAAAACGGAAACTGCGCGCAGAAAAGTCCGGCCAATCGTCAGTTTCAGGTTCGCGTGGAAGTGGCCTTATAAGTTTTCGCGCTTATTCTCCAATTTATCAATTTCTGATCAAACTGGCCCAGTTGCGCAGAAAAGTTCAGTTTCAGGTTCGCCCTTAAGTTTTCGCGCTTATTCAACGATGGTGTGTCAGGCAGAGCTGCGATTCCTGCACAGAAAAAGGATTTCGATATCACACAAAAAACAAAACGATCGAATTTGCGCAAGAAAACAAAGCACAAAACAACCATGTCCGTCGTAAGTTCACATTGATATTCCTACAAAACATCAAACTAACAGACTTTGATCTAACCTTCTTTTAACTTGTTGTTGAATTCGAAGGATCCTACAGAAGCAAATTTGGTCGACGTTTCTGCAACATTCCATCCTACCGAGGACGATGGATATGCTTTGATTGATAACGTCTCGACCACCACTGGAAAGAAGAAGCTTCTGAAGGAGATGAACCTTCTGTTCCCAGAGGGCAGTGTTTCGGCAATCCTTGGTCCTTCTGGAGCTGGAAAATCGACACTCTTGAACGTCTTGACCGACTCGTTGTCGTCAAACTCCAAAGCCGTGGCAGACAGTAAGCGACTAGATTGTTCCGCTTTCCGTTTCGTAAACCCATCTAAAATTGTTGCGATTTTGTTTTGAAACAGTTCACTTGCCAGGACACTCATCATTTGTTCCACAAGACGACCAGTTGCATGGTTTCTTCACTGTCAAGTCGTACATGAACCATTATGCCAAGATGGCAAATCTCAAGTTGCCAAGAAAAGAATTGGATGCCAAGATTGACACGTTGTTGAAGCAACTTGGTCTTACTGAACAAAAGGGTACTCGTGTTGGTGATATTTTCCTCAAGGGTTTGAGTGGTGGTCAGAAGCGTCGTTTGTCTGTGGCATTGGAGGCATTGACCGACCCAATGAATCTTTTCTTGGACGAGCCAACTTCTGGTTTGGGTAAGTAAAATGAATGTTTTCGAAACAGATTGGCGCTTGAGAGTCCTTGCTAATCCGTGTTATCTACACAGATGCCGAATCTGCTTTGCAGTTGATGGAGTTCCTCAAGAGCTATGCACGCGCTGCATCTGGACGACGTATCATCTTGACTATTCACCAGCCTTCCACCTTTATCTGGCAGCTTATTGATAATGTCATTTTGCTTGCCAAAGGAAAACTCATGTACGAGGGTTCTCGTAAGAGCATGGAAGAATTTTTTGCGAAGTACGAACACCCAACTCCGCATGGATGGAATCCAGCTGATCACTATGTCACCATGGTGAATGACGAGTTCAGAGACCACGCCAGAAGTGTCGATGAATGGGCGCAGTCCTATCAAGATTGGCAAAAGAACCATCATTTGGGTGGACCAAAATCGAGTGCATTCTTCGCACCTCCCAAGCGTAGCGGAAAAGAACGTACCACGTCGATGAATGCGGCTACCAACAAGGGCACAGTGGATACAAAGAGATCGAATTCTTTCATGGCCGTCGGTCCGCTGCTATATCGATACTTCCTCAACTTGTGGTTCAACCCAGGAATCCTCGGAACCCGTATTGCCATGTACTCTATGCTTGGTAAGTCCATTGCTCGTACTAGAAGGCCAAAATGCTGTACCATCAGCGTCAACGCTCACATTTTCCTTGTCTTTCTTTAATAATCAGCTTTGATGGTTGGAGGACTATTCTGGGAGCTTGGAGACCGCACGGACTACGAGTCCATTATCAGTCGCAGTGCCGTTCTTTTCTACTGCGTCGCCTTTTTCATCTTTATGAGTGTGGCTGTATTGCCATTCACTGTCATGGAGCGAGGAATCGTCGACAAGGAGGTCTTGAATGGATACTACCATCCTATTGCTTATCAAGTTGCTCAAGGCCTTTCAACCATTCCTGCCGCCGGTATCCTGGCAGGACTGACTTCTGTCATTATTGTATTCATGCTGAAGCTAAACGACGGGTGGTGGTACTTTTTGAACATGTTCTTGGCCTTGTGTACTGCCGAGGCACTCGCGCAGATGGTGTCACACGTCGTTCCGCACTTTGTGATTGGAATGGCTGGTATCGCTGGACTGTTTGGATTCTTCATGCTTTTCATGGGTTTCATGGTCATTCCGTCTGATTTTCCCTACGGTTTGGGTTGGACCTACGACGTTGCTTTCCACACGTACTCTTGGCGGTCGTTCATGGTGACGGAGTTCCAAAACTTGACATTTGACGATCCAAGGTCTCCCTTTGCAACCGGTCATGACGTTTTGAAGTTTTACGAGATTGAAGATGTGAACAGATGGAACGATATGATTGTGCTAGCATGCTATGCAATTGTTATTCATTTGATCAGTTTCATGGTCTTAGTGATCCGCTACTCATACTTCAAGGGCAAGATCACCCCATTGAACGGGAAGAAGCAACCTGGTATGTAAATCTAATCTGATGATAATTGTGCACCTCGGCAGAATAAATCTCACGCTGCCTTTGTCGTGCCTTTAGACCAGGACTTCTCTGAAGCTGCCGCATAAAGGGATCATACAAGTTTCGTTGAAGTGATGACTGCAATCTCGAAAGATTGGATCATTTATAGTACATGCTTGCATGATGATATATTGACTACCATAGTAATGCACCTCGATATTATTTTGTTTTGACTATCATACATTTAGATTCAGACCATCTGACTATCAGCAGCTCGCTTTCAATTGTTTGGCACAGCGGTTCTTGTTTCTTATCGTTACGGATGATCTCACCATTGGCTTCATAAACAGGACATAGACACGCTTTGCTTGCTTGTAAGGAAACAATCTCCCGTGCTTGCGGTTTCGCATTCAGGCGTGGAACCTGCTTCAACAAACATTTTTTAATTGGTATAAGTTTACGGTACCGATTCCAGAAACTTTTACAGTGAGCCGCTTTTCTACGAGGTGCGCCGTAATAAACGTACACAAAAAACGTGGATCCCCACGGGCGCATGGTACTTTCGGATCTTGGAAGATTTGCTCCCGGGAAGGTTTCTGTTGAGGGTATAAGTTGTAACAGTTGAGAATTTTTGCATTCTATAACTATTATGGACTGTCTGTCCGTCTGTGCCATTGACTTACAAAACAACACCATCGATGATGTTTTTTTGCCATAAGAACAGTGTCTTTGTAGCACCAATTCGTTTGGCAATTCACAACTGCTAGGCAGCGATTCTATCCAAAACGGCGCTTGTCTGTGCCCTGCCTGCGCATAGGTAGTCAATGCAATCTTCTTGGCTGTTGGAATCTTTTTTTCAGGAGTGTTTTGGGTTCTTTTCATTTGTTGAGTGTCACACAAGGCAGCGTCTCCCTTTGCTAGCTGCTATGGAACTTCATGTCTAGGCTGTGATATGCTGTCAATCAGATATTGCTTTCATACATATTGAATCGAGTCTGCCCATTGGCAGTTAGACTCCTCATTGTATTCTGCAAATTGTCTGTGTTGCTGTGGATGAACAGGAAGACGGTGGAGAAGGGCCAAGATGACAGTTTTGGGGGACGTGCCAGAGACAATCGCACAACAGAGGAACAACGCGGAGCATGCATCGCCTCTTCCCACAAAAGAACAACTATCCAAACACAAATATGGTGCAATAAAAAGTAAAAGTAACAATGCATGTCTCCATTCTAACCTTGAGGCAACCTTCATTGCTACATACGTTCTCTTAGTCACATGCTGTTTTCTAGGTTACTGCAAGGATGCTTTACCTTCAATGTCCTGATGAGCTGATGTCTCTACTTTCTCCACCAGAAATTTGTGGAAGAATCCATTTTGTTCCAATCGTGCTTCCTTTTCCTATGGGCGTTGCCTTCCATTCTTGATCTATCTTTTCATGAAATGAAAAAAGTCCCCCATCCGTTTCTTTTCCAATTAGGTCATCTTTGTTCCGCCCCCAACAAAAAGCCAAACTATCTCTTGGGTACTTTTCTTTGATGCTGCAATGTAAACAGGCCTTCCACTGAGGGCCTTTTCAGTTTCCCTCACATCTTGCAGCATATCTACCAAAGGATACTTTGGGGCTACCAATTCTTACAACTTGCCGCTAGACCTTTCCATAAAAGCCAGCAGTATGTGTAATCCTTTGGACTTCAGAATGATGGTTAGTGAAAAATCCAGCATCACAACACAGTATTGACCATTTGGAATAGGTTTTCCACTTACATACGTTTCGATCATCTTTCGTCTCTCGGCTGCAAATGCCCTGGACCAATGCTGGTTGGACACCCAAGTGAGAACCTGGCCATCAAACATGCCATCCTCCTCCTTATCCAAGGTGTCCGTGATCCGTCCCTTCCTTCCCTACGGGGTGTCCCTGGCCGCCTCTGTAGGGCCTTCTGCTCTCAACAATGCATTGGCTACCAAGGACTCTTGGAAGGACGGCTGTCTTGTCAATGGGCCCCTTGCAGGAAGAATACCTACAGTTGCATGGGAGGCAGCTCTCCCAC